TGATAAGATCAGGAGAAGGCTGATCTAATCTGCAGATAAGATAAGGGTCTTATCCTTATCATTAAAAGAGAGTCCAAATTCAGATAATGATCTGAATTAGGAAACTCCTGATAGGATCAGGAGCTGATCTCTCTAAGACTGTGAAACCAGGAGGGGGCGAACCATCCAGATCATCCAAGCATCCAGAGATCAAATCTCAGATAACCAAGAGAGAAGACACCTACGCCATCTTCTGCTCTTGCGTTCTCCTCCAGTTGCCGCCTCACTGCTAGTTCGATCTCCTTGGTGGGAGAAGATCAATAAGTGTTCTTGATATCAGTCTTTGGAGAAAGGCTGATAGGAAGTTGTGCTCACTGCCTCCATTGGATTCTTCCTGAAGAGTTTGGTTCGTGGGACTGACCCTACTGATTCTGCTTCTCCATCCACTGTGTCATCTTCAGTGGGAGCAGTCTTTGGTGATCTTCTTTGTGCGTGAACACCTCCATTGAGAGATACTATTTCTTTGTGTCAGGTATATCCCTCTCCTACTGTTTCGTTTCAAATCTGGTTTGGTTTATGGTTCAAGATTGATCATTGAAAAACATGATTTTTCTAAAATAGGGAATGCGATTTCCAGTTGAAGGGAGAAAAATTTTAAAATTCGCCCACCCTATTCCGCAAGTTTTGGGCGTCCATTTGATGGATCTCTCACTCCCCTTCATCTGTCACAGGAGTTATACTAGCATCTTCTGCAACTTGTGGTGTTGTAGGTGTTGCATTGTCGTTGTTCCAGGCCCAAGTTTCTTCTTCATTAAACTTAACATCCCTGCTAATAATTACTTTGCCACTCACTGGGTTATACAACCTATATGCTTTGGATTAAGGGCTATAGCCAACAAAAATGCATTTTTTTTTTCATCAAGTTTGTTGCGGGTTGGAGAAGTAACCAAGGCATAGGCTATACAACCAAAAATTTTCAAGTGGCTTACCCCTGGCTTCCTGCCCTTCCAAGTTTCATATGGGGTCCGGTTCATGACAGCCTTTGCCTTTGTAGGTGAGATATTGAGAAGATAAACTGTTGCTGCCACTGCTTTTGCCCAGAACTGATTTGGAACACCACTTGCTTTTATCATGCTTCTTGCCATTTCAACCACCGTTCGATTCTTCCGTTCAGCCACACCATTTTGCTGCGGTGTGTACGATGCTGTCAACTCCCTGTGAATGTCATTTTCCTCACAGAAACATTGAATTCATTAGAGGTAAATTCACCACCCCTATCAGCACATTTTTCCTACTTTTCTCAGATTGATCAAGTGCATATACCTCTTGGATGGAAGGAAGATCCTTGCTGTCCAAAATCTGTACCCAAATGGGTTCATAAATGGGGTTAAAGCCCAGAAGAAAAGCAAGCACTCTTTGTTGTGAGACTAGCTCTTTATAAGCTTTAGCATCTTTCTTACTTTCCCATTCAATGCTTTGATAGTAATCTAATTCCTTCCAAACTGAAGTGAGGGCAGAAAAGTAAATTGATAAGCTCCTTTCTCCTTGTTTACAAGTTGAAGATTCTTCTTGCAACTGATAGATTCTAGCATAGTGTTGTTGGTTTGAATATGTTGCCTTCGCTTGTTCCCATATTTCTTTTGCTGTCTCGGCCCACATAAAGTTTTGCTTGATAGATGGTAACATAGATTTCAAGTGCCAGGACATAATCATGAATTTCTTTCAATCCCACTTATCGTATTCAGCAGTACCAGCCCTAGGCTCCTTTATTTTCCCATTAATATATCCAGTCTTACCCCTGGATGTAATATACAACCACATCTCCTTAGACCATGCCAAATAATTCTTCCATCCAAGAGGGTAATGGTCATCGGAAAATTCAAGGAATCATGACCATTGTTCATTCCACCTTGATTAGAGGTGGTTCCTGAAGTTGCAGAGTCTTCAGAATTCATGAGTAACACTTCCAAGAAGACAACAACCCTTTTCTAGATCCAATTTCATTTTCTCCTAATAGTGTGGGAGTTGAGTCATCTCTAATAGATCATGACCAACTTTATATATATATATATATATATATATATATATATATATATACACACATTTATTGTTTTTTCTGAAATATGAAAATCTTATTTATAATAAAGTGGGGAGAGGTTACCTTGTGTGTTGTATTGCCCAACAATTCTATTCTGACTAATCTAAGGTTGGCAGCCTTACAATTTTTTTTCACCTGAAATTGTATTGAAAAGAGGTTACTCTATGTAACATTCTACTCTCTAGGTAACATTAAGAGAAACATATGATGCCATGAGATACTGTTCCCAAGATGTCTAGACAGCCCTGGGCAATGGTCTTCCCTGTTTGCCCAGGTGCCTTGGCTATCCCAGGATGTAGGTAACTAAATGGCAAATCAATTCCTACCATTGCAGCCAAAGATGATCATTTGATGCAGAGATATTTCACTTGTCAAAGCCCTCAGCCTTAGAGGGAACCTAGGTAAGAACAACCTTTCATGTTGTGTTAATCCTAGTAACAAAAAAGTTACAAAGGGACTTGCAAGCCAAGGTAAAGTTATCATATTTATTAATAACCTGCACAGACTCTGGACTTTATATGGACTTTTCCAAAAACCCCTAAATTTAGAAAACTGCAAAGGACAATAAAACTCTAAAAAAAAAGAAATTGAAGGGAAGATTTTTTTTTTATCTTATTTGAAGGTGGAAATCAGGGCTCTCAATTTGAAGAATTTCAACTACATTGAGCTTATGTTCAGGCTCAGACCCATTCAAATTTTAACAAATCTTCAACAATATGTATGCCTAATAAACCTAATAAAACTTAAATCAAAGCTCAAATAACCAAGAGAAGACCACATGCTCAAACAATGATTCAAGTTGCTAAGATCATATTCAATATCATGGAAACTTAGGCTTATAAATATACTTAAATGAAATTTCCAGTGATATCAAAGTTAGACTAAACCAGTCTTTAGAACCAGTAAATCCACATAGGCTAGTTATGATTAAATAGACAGAAATTTTACCTAGGAAAACTAGAAACTGAACATGATTTGGTTCTTACTGTTCTGTGGTTCCAAAAGCTATGACAAGATGAAATATTTCCTTCCTCTCATGTTCATCTGTTTGATAGACTTAACAATCATCTAGTTGTCTTTGCACATGTACTTGGCTACTCGCTAAGAATTTCTAACAGAGTCTATTCTGTATTGTATGCAAGGGATTCTTGGGAGTACATTGGTATAATGAAATATTGAATTGCATCATCTGTATAATAATTTTAATCTATTCATCATGATTAGAAGAGAAGTGTTTGGGAAAAAATAATATTTTCTTCTGACATAGGAAATTTTGTATGCTTTTGCCCTTTTAGATTTATGTGAAAAGTTGGTAATATTCTCCCAAATGATATTATTGTTTTTATGTGATCAGTCATTAGTTATATTTCTACTTGTGCTATTAGGTTGTTACCTGCCTTCGTCAACCATCTCAAGGACCAACCTTTGGGATCAAAGGAGGTGCTGCGGGTGGTGGTTACAGTCAAGTGATCCCAATGGATGAGTTTAATCTACACTTAACAGGAGATATCCATGCAATTACTGCAGCTAATAATCTTTTGGCAGCTGCCATTGATACTAGGATTTTCCATGAAGCAACTCAATCAGATAAGGCCCTTTTAAACAGGTTATGCCCACCTAAGAAAGAAGGAGAAAGGAGTTTTGCAGACATCATGTTTAGACGCCTCAAGAAGCTTGGTATCTCAAAGAACAACCCTAATGATCTTACTCCAGAAGAAGTCAAGAAGTTTGTGAGACTGGATATTGATCCTGAATCCATCACCTGGAGGAGAGTTATGGATGTAAATGATCGTTTCCTCAGGAAGATTACCATTGGACAAGGTCCCGAAGAAAAAGGAATGGTGAGAGAAACAGGCTTTGACATATCAGTTGCTAGTGAGATCATGGCAGTGCTGGCCCTGACAACATCCCTGTCTGATATGAGAGAGAGACTAGGAAAAATGGTGATTGGGAATAGCAAGGGTGGTGAACCAATAACAGCAGATGATCTCGGTGTTGGAGGTGCCTTGACTGTGCTGATGAAAGATGCCATCAACCCTACACTGATGCAGACTCTTGAGGGGACTCCAGTTCTTGTACATGCTGGACCTTTTGCCAATATTGCTCATGGGAATTCTTCCATTGTAGCTGATAAGATCGCACTGAAACTGGTAGGACCTGGTGGTTTTGTAGTCACAGAGGCAGGTTTTGGTGCAGATATTGGCACAGAGAAATTTATGAACATAAAATGCCGGTACAGTGGTTTAGTACCTCAGTGTGCTGTTATTGTGGCAACAATTAGGGCCCTGAAAATGCATGGTGGAGGGCCTGAGGTGGTAGCTGGGAAGCCTCTGGACCGTGCCTACTTATCTGAAAATGTAGCTCTTGTGGAAGCTGGCTGTGTGAATTTGGCCAGGCATATCATCAACACAAAGGCTTATGGAGTGAATGTTGTGGTTGCTGTGAACATGTTCTCAACTGACACTGAAGCAGAACTGAATGCAGTAAGAACTGCAGCGTTGGCTGCTGGTGCATTTGATGCCATTGTTTGCACTCATCACGCCCATGGTGGAAAGGGAGCAGTAAGTAAATTCTTCCTTATAAGACTTCAGTCTAGTTATTCATGGAGGTAATGGACAATAAACCATCTTTTCCTTGATTGATCTGGATCTACAGGGGACCATATTATGTAAGGGTATACAGGACCTTGGATAGGGCTGTTTATATGCAACAGCCCTACCCAGTCTACCCCTCCCAAAGTGGGCTGTTTAGAACCTTCCATGCACATACATTAGGTCAGGATATACAGGAACTTGATAAGGATACACAGTAGCGCATGGAAGGTTCCTCAATCATTTGCTGATTTCACTAAATGATTCAACTAGAAAACCCATGTGCTTCGAAAATTGAATCTTTTGATGGCTAATCTCATTTGAGGAGAGATCTAATTAATTGTGAGGTATAGCTTTAACATGGACCAGGGGAGTGAAATGGCTAATCAAAAGGATTCCAATCCAATGATTGGTTTGGATTCACAACATTACCTTCCCCCTTTGGGCATAGGTTGGCAACATTATCTCTCCATGTGGCAGAAATGGATTGGACCAAAATCCCTTTTGGTCCACATCAGCTAGTTATAGCCCCACATTGGATATTTCCTTCCATAAAAGGTAGTGATTCTATCAGTGTTGCATGGACACCCCATGATGTAGGAATGTTGTGATCGAAGGCTGGATGGTAACAAATTTGAGGAAAATCTAAGAACTAAAGGATGATGGCAAGGGATTAGGTCCAAGGTTTGGGGTTGAGAGGCTAGGAGTAGGCAGGCCTAGGGAAGGGGGATGAATCTTTCTAAGGCTATATAGCTGTATGAAGTGATTAGGAAGCTAGTTTGGTGCCAAAATTCCTGCAATATGCAGAAATTTCTTGAGAGAGAAAACAAAAAGAAAAATCAATATCTCAAGATTGGAAAGGAATTTCTTCATACTCTTTTATAGAAAGGGTTAGGTAAATGAACCATATCATGGGAACGAATTTGGAGATTGAGAGGAGACTTACCCGGGGGTGGAGAGGAGATGACCTACATCTGGTTTTCACCAAGATATGGTAAGGGAGTTTAGAGAGACGAGTTTCTCTCTAGAAAAGGTGCATAGATGTTAAAAACTTGAGATTCAAAGGGGGTGGAGAGGAGACTTACCCGGGGTTAAACTCAGGCCTTTAGATGATGATGAATGTTTGCATTTGATTGTATTTTCCCAGGTCTTTGATTGCCTAGGAATCACTCCTAGGGTTCCTGGAATCACTCTAGGGCTTTGGGAATCACTCACCACAAGCCACACAAGCATAAAATAAAATCCAATATTCATTCCCCACACTTTGCTAATTTACAGACACACACACACACAATTCTGCCACTCATAAAACAGCTTAAAGAAAACTAATAACTCTAAACTATTTAAACAATGACTGAAAATTTAAATATGGCTAAACTATGACTAGACAAATCAAACTAGCAGGCTAGACACCATAGACACATGTCAAAATGATCAAAATTTCCATATTCCAAAAATATGGAAATACCTAAAAATTCAGAAAATTCCAATTTTGACTCTTCAGCTCCTGCATCACCCCAGTTCTGGAGAGGACTCGTGAGTCAACACTTGTTCATGAGTTCTGGAGAGGACTCGTGAGTCAACACTTGTTCATGAGTTGACTCCTGTCTGATTCTACAAAATAGGTATCAAGACTCAACTACAGTGCAAATCAGGCAGATCTACCAAAATTTCTTCCATGTCAACTCTCCAAAATTACTTATTCTTACTTTAAACGCTTCTATATGACTATATGAAAGTGATCAACCATTTAAGCTGCCCAATAGGTCACTCTAGTATTTATATTTTTCCAATTTATACAACTAATGATACATTGTTTACTAGACCTTTTCCAATTAACATCGAAATTAGGAAAACAATGGAAGGAAAACAACTAGTGTGACAATGTGGAAAATAGGCAAAGGCTGAGTTTAATTTGTCAATTGTAAAAGTAATTTAACTATTTAAGTTGTTATGCTTATATAGTTGTATGAATTTTATAAATTTATATCAAATATCGTAATGTTTAATATATAATAAAATATTATTTATGTGATCCATGTCCACGAATCTTAGTTTTTTGGGCTCAGCGAGTTGGACTCCCGGGCACATGTCAGACTCTGAGTCCTGTGTCCTAATCCATGCAACACTGGATTCTAAAATTACTAACTTCAATCATCTGCATTTTTTGATTGCCATGCAGTTATCTAGGTAAAATTTTCAGATGTAAACAGAGACTGTTGACTATTGAGTTGTAAATGCTTGGGCAGCACATTTCCTTGGTGGAATCCATTGCTTGATTTTGACTCTTCTCAATTTATACTATATATGCATCATTTTTTGATAATGGGCTTAAATGTCTCAGTTCAAAATTTTCATTCTTATGGAATAGTTAAGGCCCAGTTTGGAAAGAGTACAAATACAAATATCTAGAGTGCAAAACCTTATATTGTGTACTATTTTGTATGTATTTGTACTGTGCATATTTGTATTTGTACTCCTTCCAAACGGAGCCTCAAGGTGCATAACTTTAAGTGCAATTAGCTAATATTGTTGAGATGTGAAAGCAAGTGCATACTGATAACAACCAAAAAATCTTGGGCATTCCAAATAGTTCCTTTTGTCCTAGGAGTTGAGTATTTGATCCATGTGAGGAGTATGATCTTTACATGGGTTTGATACTGCACCAACATCAGTATTCAAAGGATGTAATTCTCAACAAGATAGAGAAGTGGGATAATTGACGCATATGTGAATCTCAGCCTTCTAGAAATTGCATGAAGATTCTTTTGGTTGTTTGAGGATGAGTATTTATTGGACAACTAGCATTTCTGAAGAATAGAACCCCATGGAAACCAAAATTTACTTTGCTCTTAACAATGTCACTTGGGAAATCTTGTAGGGAAGTAGCAACCCAATCAGATAATCCCATCATCTACATTGCCTGCCTTAATGCATATAGTTACCAAAAGTATTTTGGTCCAACCAGTTCTGTCAATGACCTTAGATCTTTAGGCGGTAGTTTATTTTTATTTATTATTTATTGTTTATTTTTTGAGCTATGAAAATGGACTACATAATTGGGAGGCACCGAGGCATTGGTATCCCATCCCCCAAAATCCCCCAACTCCAAATAAGGCAGGATTTGGTTACAGGTCTCTGCTACAACCGGCAGGAGACTTGACCAACTGAGCCAGCTAGTAACTTCCTGTTACTGCACCACTTATTCCTGAACCAGAACATTATGCATGTTAATTATTGCTTTATTGGTTTTTAAGGTTAGAATGTATTTATATTGTAGCTTATTCATGCTAGAGATGGATTCATTGGTTAACTGTCGAACTTTTAATCTTCAGGTTGATCTAGGCATCGCTGTTCAAAGAGCATGTGAGAATGTGACACAGCCATTGAAGTTTTTATACCCATTGGACATTAGTATCAAAGAGAAAATAGAGGCAATAGCAAGGTCCTATGGTGCTAGCGGTGTTGAATACTCAAAGCAGGTAAAAGCCTGTTTGCCTTTCCAATTCCTTCTCTGACGAAATTATTTGGTTTCTCTCTGCTGTTGTTAAATATAATCCTTACTTTAATGTTTAGGCTGAGAAGCAGATTGAGATGTACAGCAGGCAGGGATTTTCTGGTCTACCCATTTGCATGGCAAAAACCCAGTACTCTTTCTCGCACATCCCATCTGAGAAGGGAGCTCCTGTTGGATTTGTATTGCCCATCAGGGATGTCAGGGCCAGCATTGGAGCTGGGTTCATCTATCCCCTTGTTGGGACCATGAGTACCATGCCTGGGCTCCCAACCCGACCTTGCTTTTTTGACATAGATGTTGACACCACCACTGGAAGGGTCCTTGGCCTTTCTTGAAGAACTAGGAGATCATTTTCTTTTCTGTACTGTTGCATTCCTAATCCATATTTGCATGAAGGCTGGTGGGTATTCTTCTCTTGTGAGTTGACTCCTTAGCGAAGCCTTTTTCTCTCACTTTGTTAGGACAAATGGTATGAGAAAGGCTGGATAGAAGTTCTCTGTCATGCTCTTCAAATGTTTGTCGTCATTGCAACCCCATGTGGTTTGTGCTCCGTATCAGATGCATAACATAAACTAAGAATAAAAATTATATATGTAATTGTTTTTGTTGCCATTCCAGGATGTGAAGTCTAATCTCAGTGTTGATTCCTTGACAACCGAAGCTCTGCATCACATTACAAAGAAACAAACAAAAGTGGAACAAAATATAAAATCTGGTGCCACCCAAAGCCAGAAAAGGTTCAATCAAACTCAAGACATGAGCTGGAAGATGGAATGGACCTTCCTTTTCAAGGTCTTATTCTCATTTCTTCTTTTAACTCGGTCTCATCTTTAGTCTCACCCTACTACCATGTGAAACCCTTCTACCGTTTTCTAGTAAGGCACTCCCATTTTAGCAAGCAGTGGCCAGGCAAGCAAGCAACCTATATTATAACGACCTGCTCCGACTCTCAGTTTTACCAAAACAGCACTCGTTTTGGTAATTAAGATAACATCATCTGACTTCCTTTTTTCTTTTCTGATTACAATCCAAACAAATGCTGAAAAGCTAGATGGAGATTTGCACCTTAACCCACTACATCCAGATCGTCCAATCATAGGTGGAACAAATACTCTGCCATGATAAGCTGCTTGAAATGATTCATTGAAGTAAAGAATATATGGACTCCCTTCCATATCCAAACCTTTCCGGTTCGCCCAAGTCTGATTTTTTGTTTAAGATAAAAAATCATAACAAAGTGAGAAACCTTGCAAGAAAGTTAATAAAAGGGAAAATTCCCCGATCAGTATCATGTACTTTGGCTCGAGTGACAACTTGGTCCCCAAACTTTAAAATGCAACAATCCAGTACTTGAACTTTCAAAATGTGACAATCCAATATCCAAATTTTCAAAATGTGACAATCTAGTATATGTCGTTAATCAGCCATTAAGTAACATTTGAAAAGTCAAAAATGCCCTTCGAATGTCACCTAATTCTCTTTATCAACCATCTAAATGTTGACAAAAAAATAAATAGTCCTAAATCCTAGCCTTTTCTGTTCAAAAAAGTTGGTGACTGTTTAGAATAATATAGAATTTGGGACTGTTTATTTTGTTGTCAATGTTTGGATAGTTGATAAAGAAAATTAGATGGCATTCCTAAGGTATTTTTAACTTTTCAAATGTCACTTACCGCTGGTTAGCGGCAAATACTGAATTGTCACATTTTGAAAGTCCAAGTTAAAAGTTTGGATACTGAATTATGGCATTATAAAGTTTGAAACCAAATTATCACTCGAGTCACAAATTATCACTCGAGTCAAAGTAGGGGTACTGAGTAATTTTCCTTTAACAAAAAATCTAGGTGGTGATTATGAGTATCACGTCACTTGATTAGGTCCACTTAACCAAAAAAAGAAGATAGAAGAATATATTGTTTCACGGATATCTTTACTTACTCTTCAGAACATAAAGCCATCTCATCGCATGACTGCAGGAGGGACGTCACCACTCATCCCCATCCATTAACATGGCCAAGGTAAATGGTGGTTTCTTTGAAACAGAACACACACACACAGAGGTGGCCAGGTGGGTGAAGTAGTGCATGGTCATGAAAATGGGATGACATGACATGATCATTCCATGGGATGATAGGACTGAGCGGTTTGGGTAAACCTTCTCTCTAAAACAGAAGACAACCCATACTCTGAGTGATATTGGTCACGCTTTCTCTCTCCTCCCTGAGAACAAGAATAAAAAAGCCATCAACTTTGAACCTTTGACCATAACAAAGAAGAAAGAACGTAGCAAACCAAACCCTTGTAGCTGGCCATGTACATAAGAATCAGATCACCCATCATACAATGTTATCTCTCAATTCTACTCTCTTTTTTGAATATTAAAGCATCGACCGGTCCGTGGCTCCCCCACTTGTTTAATATTAAATCATCGATCTATCCAGTAATCGTTTAGGGAATTGCACTCTTTGCAATGGTCGAGTCCAATTTGTAATAAGCATTCACAGGCACGTTAACCTATATATACACACTTTAGCTTCTCTCTCTCTCTCTCTCTCTCTGTGGCTGCTGAAGCACTTGATTAATTAAGCTTTTCAGTTGAGAGTCGGGGATTGATAGACCCATGCAGCATTGAAGGAATGATGTGAGGACGTTAATATTGCAATCTTTTCTAAGGGGTTTGCCTGTTTGTCCCCCACCGTCCCCCGCCCCAAGGACGCCCTCACAGGCCACTGTTTAAGCTCATCAAGGACGACGAGCGCTCTGTCCCATGTCCTCCGAGCACTTAGAAATTTTGATTATTAAGTTCAGATTTCCTGGTCATAGTTTTGGGTATGGACTATGGACATTGGGGAGTACATCCCTCGGATTCAGAATCCGTATCACATATTCTAAAAAAAAAAGAATCCGTATCACATAAAAAGTATTTTAGATGAGGAGAGAATAAATAAAAAGAGACGATCAGACGAATCCTTCAAGGCGATTTTTTTTCTCAGAAATTTACGATAAAAACTATATGTTGCTGACTGCGATCTTCTCTTTTGTTGCCTGTTGAGTCGGGTTTTCTAGAGTTGAAATCATCATTTGAGACCCAGATGACCGTGAATCTCTAATGAAGAAGATCAAGAGAAAGAACAATTAGCAACTCTTCAACAATCACTAGTGTATATAAACTCTATATGTTCTTGTTCTTGCTTGCTGCTTGGTGTAATCACCAAACAGAAATTATAGAACTGAAAAAAAGGAATGCACCAATCGAGCTAGATCAGTATATCTCAAGAAAGATTGATCTTACAATTTAGAGACGAACATCGTAATCACCCAGTTGGTTTCATGCCATGACGTTGCTACTAATACTAGGATGAGGATCGCTAGGAGTAGATGGCTGTAGAATTATCGCTGGTGCATATTGCGTTTGGCCAAGCAGACTGCTGATAGATCGAGCCTTCACCATACCAATCTTCTTTCTCTTCTTTCTGATTGTCAGTGGCTTCTCCTCTTCTTCTTCTTCTTCTTCTTCTTCTTCTTCTTCGTCTTCTACCTCCATCTCCTCTTTGAAGCTATTCAGCTGCTGCTGTTGCTGCTGCGACATCGACGACGATAACCCACGCTGTTCTTTTTCCTTCTTGGGTCTAGCTCTACCCATGGCGGAAGCCTGATTGCGAACGCTGCTCATGCTTCTCAGCCTTCCCTTACCCAAGTGGTGCTCGCATAGAGAGTAACCCACAAGCGTCTGTTGGCAACATCTCCATCCTCTCCCATTTACACGACTGCACCTCGAACCCTCCATCACCACTCCGCCGCCCCCTCTCTTCTTTCCACTCGTACCATTGATCAGTCTCACAACATCTTCTCTTTGTCTTTGCTGCTCTCCATCATCACCGATACCTTCTTCTTCCTCTTCTCGTTTATCATCACCATCACCATCATCGTCTTCCTCTTCTTCTTCATGGACCCATTTATTCGCTGCCTTTGTTTTCACTCTACTCTTCATTCTCTTCTCTTTCTCCACTATCGCGTCATCACTCACCTTCCTCTCGAAGCTCCCTCTTCTCTTCTTCAACGGAAACGCTCTCTCTCCTTCAACCCATCTCCCTGAAAATATCAACAAAATCAAAAACCAAAGCAACAGCAACCCATATCGTAACATAAAGTAATCTCTCTCTCTCTCTCTCTCTCTCCCATGTTCACCTAATGAATACCTGTAAAAGAAGATGACAACGATACTGAGATCCCAACTCCAGAAGATGTTCCTGCACCCGGGTTGCTCTCGTTTCTGGCCACAAGCAAACAAGCATACAAAATGCACAAGGCCCATTACATCTTGCTGAAGCGTATCGGTACCAAGATGCACATCTTGGCAGTTAGTTACTCCACAGATAAACAACCCACTCCAACGCCACAACGACCACCACCACCACCTCCGACTCTTGGTAATTTATTTATTTATTCCACTCGATGGGTTAAAATAATTTTAATCCCATTAAATATTAATAAAAAAACATAAATATGGGTGGGCAGATAAGAGTAGAAAGAGATGGATGGGACGGGATGGATGATGTGAGGAGGGGCACATGGTGATGGGTAAAGGAAGCAACATCATACTCGTACACCCAAAATAGCATTCTACTTAATAGTAATTTACCATTAATAATAATTATTATTATTAATATGATTTTTCACTCCGGCGAGGAAAGAAAAAAATTTTGACTGGTTTACCTCCGATTAGTCGCAGCAGCAAATCTCTTGTCGTCGGCAACTTCTTCTTCTCCGGCTTGGGAGTCCTGCAAGAGGAGCCAAWGAAATGGGGTCTGAGTGCACAAAAAAATCGTTGCACCAAGACAGAAAAGAAAAAGGAAATAAAAGAACGAGAGGGGAGAATCAGCTAATGTGCGCCGGGGTGAGTACCGGTTAAAAAGGGGGCCGGTTTAGATCACCGGCAACATCGGAAAGCTGGTGCAGTTTTTGAATAAAATTTGAAGAAAAAAAGAAAAGAGAGAGAGAAGAAGAAGAAGAAGAAGAGAAGAAGAAGAAGAAGAAGACAAGGAGAAATAACGAATGAGAAAAATGGAAAAAACGGAGAAATGATTTGACTAATCTTCAGTCTTCACCTGGGTAGAAGTAGGACTGCTGTGCATGCAATCGAGCTGATGAGATGAATGGTGGGATTCATCTATCTCGGTGTTTGAGAAAATCCAGCCGTCGGTTCCTTTAGTCATGGTGAGCTGCAGATCGGAGCGTTGTCGATCCTCCAGCTTGGGTCGACGGAGGGGTGGGCTGGGTGCTGAATCGGAAGGTGGACGGAGGTGGTGGTGGTTGTCTTCTGCAAGGGGAAGATCGGAGTGGGGGTGCAATGACCGTTTTGGTTCTGAAGATGGTACAAGAGAAGGTGGCGGTGATTGGGGCGTGGAAGAGGTGAGATCTGGTGCTACTGGTGTAAGTTGAGGAGGGGACAACGACGATGACCAGAGCGGTGGAGGATGAGGAGACGGTGGTGCTGGCCATCGCTTTCTGATCCTCATCGTCGACGGAGTGGATGGAGAGAGAAAGTGAGGGAGAAGATGAGAGACGAGAGATGGGTCGGTCCTTTGTTGCAGGATTTGGGCTTTTTGGGCTTTTGGGGAAGAACACAGAAAGTGCAAAACCCCCCTAAAAAGGAATAATAGAAGAGACGAGACGACCCATCTTTCTCTCTCCTCTCTCACATCTTCTTCTCTTTCTCTCTCCAGTCCTTTTGGGCATGGGCATGGCTACCACAGTTTTGATCTTTTTCTATTTGTTGTTGCACCACACAAACGTACACATAAGATATAGGTATTAGGTACACGCAACGGAGGTCGGATCTGCTCCTCACAATTGACGCCTCACAAGTGCCTCATACGCACATTTAATAATGTATTGAAAACATTTTCCGTATTTTTTAAGTTATCTTTTTACGGAAGATATTCTTAATGCACGATGAATGTGCATGTGAGACGCTTATTTGTGAGGAGCAGATCCCGTCACCATGCGACGCGCGTGTAGAGAGAAGAGTGGTGGAGAGAGAGAGAAAGTGGGACTGGGGGGCAGCCGGGCAGAGGCAAGTAGTGAGACTGGATGACTGGATGGACCGGTGGAGGAGTACGGAAGAGCAAGTGATAGTGAGCGTCCAAGTTGGATTGTTGGAAGATTATTATTATTAGATTACAAATAATAAGCAATATGTGGGGTTGGGTGTTGTTGGTATCTTTTATGGGCTGGGGCTGGTGGGCCCTGGACCACGACATGCACGTCCCAGGTCCTAATTCCTCTTGACACCACCGCTGGTCCCATTCCAATTCACAACCACAACCAATCTCTCTCTCTCATGGTGGTGATATGGGTCTATTAAAGTATATCATTAGTTAGATGAATTGACCCTTAGCCAGGTTTTTATGGTCCATTTAGCCCCAAAATCATTTTGTTTGAAAATAAAAATGTTGGTTCACTCAATAATTTAATTGTAAAATCCAGATGTGGCGAATTGAGGGGTGGCTCAGTTGGTTCGCTCTAACATAGATTTAGATTCGATTCTTGCAATCACCGAATTGTTGGGATGCATTAGTATGATGTGTATGACTAAATATCAAAACAAAAAAATAAAAAATAAAAAAAGGAAAGGTATGGTTCCTAAAGTACCCTGTGTATTTTGATGAGTATCCTTTGATTGGTCATCCTTTTTATGATATCGGGCAATTGATTGTAAGTTTTCCGGTATCATAGTTGAACCCTAATCTAATAATCTGACCAGTTGGACCATGGAGCCATTTGACATGATCATTAAGTAATGGGTTAGATATAAATTCTCTTTTTTCTATGCATTTTTAGTTATTTTCATCATTAATGATGGATCATTTTCCATTTTAAACACATCATCATCATTGATGAAGGAAGATTTGGTCCAACCTCGCAATCATTCCATGTGGCAAAAGCAAATAGCTCGACACTTAAAATAGCGCACCCAGGGCGCAAGCACCAAAGGGAGGAAACTAGCAGTCTGAACTCCCTTTGAGGAGCCTGAACTCCCTACGAGGAGCCCGACCTCCCTATGAGGAGCCCGACCTCCCTACTAAGAGCTCGAACTCCCTACGAGGAGCCCGACC